GGTAAATATTTTTTGTTATATTTCATTTAGTGCGTTCACTTGAGAGATTTATTCATATTTTTCGCACTCAATCGTATTATGTTGTTCCCGAAATCTATGCATATAGAAACATAGTCACACATAAATACGTCTCACTTAAAGACTGTACGTGTAATGTATTATAATGTACAAAGTATTTACATTAACTAATTTATCGCATCCGCCATTAATTTGAGTTCATTACCCGTATTTTTAAGTCATAACCATGTTGCTTAAAACTGAAAAGCACTTTTGTAACCGATTGTATCGCCCATCGTATTCTTGGTAAGATCTAAGCCTTTTGTCTCAATGTTTGTCAAAATTTCATTGTTAAAATTGATTTTCCACAATAACTTGAGATTTGCTTTGTTTATAATATGTAAAACAAATAAATAATATCTGTTTAAGATTTTTTTTCATGGATAGATAATTTTAATCAGCGATAAAAAAAAATAAATCAAATACAACATTACAATGATCATGGAACAGGTATCTATAAAATTATCTTTAAGCAAAAATCCTAGAGTTTGACTTTTAACAAGGAAAGATAATAGTTTCGATCTAAAATATTGATAAAATATTTTGTTCAACCTAGTGTGGTAATCCAACACTTTAAGAAGGCATTGAACGTCAAATATTCTAGGTATATACTTGAGAGTAATTCAAAATGATAATAGGTGTATGCATTTAATCTTGATATCACTATCAGACATTTAGACAGTATCATTTACGTAAAAATGCTTCTTTACAGCCATTAGTATTTACGAAATATCAACGCAATCAAATACACGTAACAACATTTTTTAATGCCTGGCAATGCATAAGTACTTTTGTAAAAATGATTATAATTTTATTAAGAATATCTGAATTTTCTAAATAAAATAACTTTAAGGAGATGATGGTCTTTATGACAGTTAAATAAGTGTATCAAAGCAATTTCGGCATATTATATTTATAACTGATATCCGATTTCTATTCAGGTTGATGGTAGAGAATGCCTAGGGCATTTAGTCCGCATTTTGTGATTTGTTTTTTTTCAATAAAGTATAAATAAATAAATTATATTCAAAAAATCGTTAATAATCTAGTCATTGTACACTCATTAAATACAATAAAATTAATAAAGGAGTTTACAATGGGAGCTTTTGATTTCTGTTGTTTATGAAGCCAGTTAACTACAGAAGGAAAATAAAAAACGTTTGGGGAAAATTCATTATTGAAACTGGGGTAATAATAGTTTATTGAATAATAAACACAATAAAAACCTTTTATACAAAGAAACTATCTCTAATGTATCGTTATTTTTGCTCTCCGTCCGCTATTAATATAAATTCATTCAATAATAGCTTAAACAGCTGATATACAGGTGGCGCCATCTTTTAGAATTCACGCTAATATTTACTCTGATACCGATGTGTAATGACATCGCTAGATGTCGCCATGGCACAACCATCAATATCCACTGGTCCCATTCCAAATGAGGAAATAAGGAATGCCAGTGATGCTCTTCCAATTTTTACCTTAACTCACTTTCTTATTAATCTGGAGTATGGTAAACGTCTCAAATAGCTATGTTTTTATGCTAATTAAATAATTTCTAAGGTCGCAATCACAACCCTTCAATGAGAGCGTTGTATAAAAAAAGAAAACTATTTTTAATCTATATCATTACATAGAGTAAAAATATTTTTTTCATTACCCTTATGTAGATATAATAATAGATAAATGAAGCGTAAGGAAATCCATATTGTTTGGTTTAAAATTATTTCTGTATCAAAATTTACTTCTTCGGTTATATAATCATGAGATGTCTAAAAGAATCCATTGTAAACACCCATTCAATTTTAAAATTTTACGTAACCTACAATTTATTTTCACTTATGTATTGAACTGTAAAAAAAATATTTTGATTGATTGTGTGATTCTAAGGAACATTAATTATTCAAAAATACATTTAGTTACGCTAGAAGACTGCAAAGAAACATTTTATTAATGTATCATCAATAAACCGCATCTATAAACACAGCAATATGTAATATAGTGGAAGTAAATCTTAACAACGCTAATTATATTCTCCTTTTTAGATAAATAACCATCTAACAGTTATTCATAAGATTTAATTTTAAAGAAAACGATAAATTTTCGGATGAACAACTTAAATGATTGGTTTCAGAATATTAAAAGCTGCTTTGTCATCACACTCATAAAGAATAAGGACAAGGTAAGGATTTTCTCTATAAATGTCGACGATCAAAGGGTTAATATACTTTAGGTGCCTTTAGAGATAATCTGAGGAATACTAAAAAAATCTTTAATCGATATCTTAAGCTGTGATTATAATACACATGTGCAAAAGATACCTGTGAACTATCCGACACCTAATAAGTAAATAGTAAGACGATTCGAGAGATAAGACACCATTCAGATACGGTAGAAAATATGTACTTTCGCCTTATAAAGGCCACTGTTTTGACCGCTGGCATGTCAAAACTCAACTGAAATACGATTAAATTACATTCACCTATTCTCCCAGATCAGTCAGCAGCGGTAATGTAATCGAAACGTATTCAAATCAATATAATAATAATTTAGAGAGATATATAATAATTTATTTTCTTTCAAAAATATTTTCTTTGAAGTTTGGGTAACAAGTACTAAAGTCAAAAACAAACAGTCATGTTGAGAGAATATAGGCAAAAACTAAGCTTAAAATAAGGCTTGATATCTTCTAGTCACCAGACCTCTCCTCCGATATTACAATTCGTATAATTCACACATAAGATAAAATTAACAAATGTTATACAATTATTATCTTGCAGCTCGTCAAAAGTAAGCTTTTAAGCTCTTCAGTGGTCAAAAACATGGAGCCTTAATAGGCGACAATATCTTAGGCTAGTATTATAGTGTTTGCTCACGCATACTATATGACTAACGCTTTGGTGACGAAATTCACTTGCGAAAAACTAAGAAGTAACATTAAGCATGAGCTCATGTAAGTAGAGACACATCTAAGGGGTAGCATTCATATTCGCGATCTCATAAATAATCAAAGATACCAAAACGCTCACCGATACTTATTTAATACTATTTTTGTATTTGTTTGTACAAGACACCAGTGAAATAGGCTTGACGCCAAAAAATAGTCTATGGATGTCAGAAATAATTGAACAGACTAAAATAGTACTCCGTTCACGGAGGCAGTTTTTGTACTAAAACTGACAGTGAACTATGGAACATTTTGATATGAGCGGTAAACAAAACGAGAAGATTTAAATGGAAGCATGATATCAGAAAAACGGTTCCTATTTTTAATTGTGCGGCTGCATTCAAGGAGGTTACTTCGTGAGAATGTCACCAAAGAAGTAATTAACGTAGAAGACATGAACAGTAAACAGAATAAGCTGGGGGGCTGCATATATAGGCAAAGATTGAAACGCTGAAGGATATAATTTAGCTGTAATTATTCATGGAAGCTGTGCCGCCAGCTAGTGTAGCATGACGACTGGGACTCGAATCAAATGCAGATCAGGAAAAGCTTATCGAGTTGTGTCGACATTCAATAAAATAAGTGCTCGCGTCAATCATGGAATGCTTGGCAATAATACATTTTTGGTTTATTCGTTAAGATTATTAATGTTTTTCGCTTATTGTTTTCACTTTAAAACCGATGTTTATTTAACATCGGTAGCACCGATGTTAAATAAACAAGATTAAATTTAGTTTTAATACAGTCAAAGGGCGTTTTCAAGCCAAAAAAAGTATGATAACAAAGCAAATTTTAATATACTATAGTACACTGGAGTGTCTAAGGAATATTATTAAAATAAAGTTTTGTGGACATAAGATTTTTTTAGTGAGACAACAGATTCGACACCATTACCACTCTTACTTGACCCGAGAAAATTGACATTTCGATATAGACAGAAGGCATATCAAGAATGTTTTGTCTACACCAAATGTCACTTTTCATGACGCCTCAAATCTCACTCTTAGCCGTGAAAATTGACGTTTAGTGTAAACAAAGCGTTTCTCAAAATATCATAACACCAGTCCTGTTCATCATGCTATGAATGCAGTCAACTCGCATTGATCTACGCATTAGTCGACTTGTTTAGTTCGCAAATGAAGTGGTTCGAAAAACCGGCCTCCACAGACAAAATATGTGTGCTAGTTCCCAAATTTCCCGTTCCGTAGTTTGTTAATTCGTGACATAATGAGTAAAGGTGAATTCGACCGAACTAAAGTCGTATCGTAAAAAATATAAAGGCAGAAAATATAAAGTATATTATTATTATTCACTGTATAAACAATAAACCTAGTTATTTACATAAAAAAAAATCTATGAATTTTAGTTAATATGTCTATTTATGTTATATTTTGTGTCCAAAATTTTGATGTAAATTTACAGTTTTCAAAAATCTAGTAGCAGCAGAAGCAGTCTCAAAACGAGCGAACGAACTGCCATAAAATAATTCAATATAAGGCAGAACGTTCGCTCGTTTTAAAACAGTTCCCGCGGCAAAGAGCGAAAAGCTAGTAATCTACACGAGTCACGAACTAACGCACTAAAAGGGCGACACAGTTCGTTTAGGAGCCGGGATTTAACTCGTTCGATTTCAGTTGCGAACTATTACGCTCGAGACTACTACGCGACGGCTCGACGCGAGCAGTAGACAGGGTGAGTGAGGGGCCCGTTTGTCATAATACCAGTGCTGTTCATGCTATGAATGCTGTCAACTCGCATTGAACTACGCAACGGCTCGACGCGAGCAGTAGGCAGGGCGAACGAGGGGGGGCAGTTTGTCATAATACCAGTGCTATTCGTGCTATGAATGCGGTCAACTCGCATTGAACTACGCAACGGCTCGACGCGAGCAGTAGACAGGGCGAGCGAGGGGGCCGGACGCGGGCGCGGGGAGCGCGACGTGCGCGGGGGGCGCGGGGTGGGGCGGCGGCGGCGGGTGCGCCCGGGCCGCGCGCCGTCATACCCCGTCCAGCTGCCGCACGCGCACGTCCTGCGACGCGCACATCTCCGGCGCCAGCGGCAAACATGTAAAGTACGCGCACGCTGTACATTCATAAGCTGGCGCCGCGTAAAACAACGCCACCAACGCACACAGCATCCCACCCGCTGATAACATACAAACCCACACTAACACTATCTTCCTTCTCCTCGCGTACGGCCCGAACGTTATAAACGGCAGAAGCGCATACGATAACAGAAAACCGAATACGAAGCCGAACACGTGAGCGAAATTGTCGATCCACGGGAGTAGTCCGAGTAGGAATAGGGCGACCGCTATGCTAATAAGCCGGAGCAGCGATCGACGGGGATGCCTCAAAAGAGGCCACGCCCCTATCACTTCCACTATTAGACATGCCAGAAGGCCGAAATGTGATCCAGCTGGTCCCACCTGAAATAATAAAACAGTTAATAAGATGTACTTCTAATTAGCTATTGAACAGATAATGAAGTTATGTATTACACACCTCTGCCCTATAAGGCTCGAAAATAGCTGACGCCATGTTTCCAGCGACGCCACTACCCAAATAAATGATAGCTATTCTAACAGGCCCGGCCATCTTCTCCAGATCCCTCATGAAGAGCCACTGTAATGCCAAAGTGGTGGCTAAATGCAGTAATCCCGCGTGCACGAATAAAGATGTCCACGCACGGTACAGCTGGTCTGGACGTCTTCTTCTCATGAATGGCAGCATTCCGCAGACATCGTCTAAACATGATACCTGGAATAACAAAATATACCGATCTTATTTACCTCTGCGGTAGCAAAAGTTTGTCCATGTGTTGCTCAAAACAAATATAATGGGGGATGCTAACCTAAAGGCTAACTAAGATTTTTAGGTTGACTAAAAGACACGTATGTAGATCTTGGTAAAATCAAATCAAGATTACATCAAAACTCAATACCAATAATTGATCCTAAAAAAAAAATACATACGTAACTACCGTTCCAGAATTATCTAAAATATAACACAGATACCTGATGACTTCGTCAACATCGTTTTCGAAAACAAATTGACGCAGTACCATTAATCACTCTAATCATCAAACGCACTTGTGGTAATTTTTGAGTTAAATTTTAGAATAAACAAGCAGTGTTAGTTTGCTGACTAAAAAAAGAGCAATATAAACGATAACAAAATTTACAATACCTGTGAACACAGCGACGCTTCTTCATGAAAATAGCCTTTGACAAAGTCGCAATGTTCTCTAGTAGTTATAACACATTGTCCATGTACTCCTATACAACAAGGATGGCCTATAACTTCGCAAGCCATGTGCTCGGCAGCATGCCCGGCCCGTCCCGCGGCGGCTGAACCGTCCAACACAGATTTGCGACAGATTGGCCATTTTGTTATGTCATCTGGCCATTCGTGCGGTGCAATCGAACGCGGCGCTTCACAAAACCTGCAATATAAATTTTATGAAATTGCATTAAATGTATGTCATGATTAAATATCCCTTTGGCGCACCAGGTTTGAATCAAATAAGTAGAACAACCCACGTTCAAACCCCGCGGCTGCAATGCGAATTGGTGGACGTGAATAACTGTAGATGCAACCGGGCTCAATCCTTCCGAAGCAAGGAGAAGCTCGAGATAGTAAATCGAAGCTTCCGCATCGGAGATCGAGCGCGCTAACGATTGCGCCATTGAGAAATCTCCTGTATATCTTAGGCAGATAAAAGTCTTGGCAAAATACCCTTGGTGTATCATTCCACCAGTGGTCGCATGTACTGATTTAAGTGCAATCAATATGGTGTTGTTTTTTGGAGTGGTAGATTGATTGGTAGTCCAATCAGTAGGCCTCAGTATTAGATCTTACTTGACCGAATGACTTATCGTACAACCTGCTCAAAAGTGGGGGAACATGCATTAAAAAAAAAATTATTTATCGTAAGTTTTATTTGTAATTAAATATAATTTTACTTACTTAGGATCTAAACCACAAACAGAACCGGATATCCGACCTCCAGGGCCGGACTCTCCTGATGACCATTTTTTCCATGTTGATATTGTATTCTGAAAAAAAAATGTATGAGATTATGAGACGATACTGCCAAGATTATTGAATAACTATTTCATTGCTAAGTATTAAGACGAATTTATTAGGGGTACCAAAATATTTTATTATTTTATATTCGTACATACCTTTGCTATTAATCCCCGTATCTTTAGAAAGCATGACAAAAAATATAAAGTTAGTTTTATCTACCTTATAAAATTTTTCTGGTCTTTTAAATATTTCATTCAATTGCAATTGCAGATGACAAGCCTTCTCTTGTTCTACTAGAATCATATTACGTAATATTCCTGTACGCTAACTGATAAGTTCCTTCTATGATTAATTTTCATTCTTAATTTATGAACCGCTATGCTGAACAGAGCTGTGCTTGACGTTGAGATTAGCGCTGAATTTTGTACAGATATGGCCTACTGTTTTTTAAACTATTGCTAATGCTAAAAACTAGCTATAATACGTTTCAACTAAAATCTTGTGGTTAACTGACCAGAGGTAATACAGGAATCAAATCTGAACGTTTTCTTATATCAAAAATATCCCTTAAAAATATGGGCAGTCCAGACTCTGGCAATTAATTACATTTCAATAACATCAAATGTCTACTCACCGAACAATCAGCCTTTGATGACTGCACGCAGCCAGAGTCGTCATTTCGTATACAGCAAGCGGTGTCCCTCTCTCTTCTCGCTGACGCGGCTATCGCCCGCGCTATCCTGACGTCCCTTCTCATGCATGGTGCAAATTTTGCTCCTAAATGAATAAGATCCGCAGCTCTTGGGCCCAACCAGAAAGAAGCGGGTTCCTCCCATTCCACCTAAAAGCAATGTTAGAGTCGTTATTATATCGTAAAGGTTTGTTTAGATTCTTGAAATATAAAATTGTTTATATCAAAATACTTGGAAATACGGTTATATGTTGACCAGGACAAATAACGGATCCGACAAAAAAAACTCATAAATATACAGAAACTATGAAGAAAGATGGACCTGGATCTAGTTAGAAAACAGAATCTTATTTTTCAACTAATCATTCGAATATCACGAGTTTGATAAGGTATCTATAGGCCCTGAATCTTATAGTATCGGAGGAAAAACAAAACCGATAAATAAGGGTGTGACAAAACAAGATCTAGATCTAAAACTAACCCCGGCGTTAAATAGCTCTGTACGCACCTATTTGACCGTTTATTTTTTCACACTGTTTGCGAGGGTATTTGATACTTTGTCACATATTGGTGCGCTTATTTGAACAATGAAGTGTTCACTTAAGTGCGTACGTGTCTTAGACGAGCTTAAAAGTGACTCACCAACGTGATAAAACTACTTTAGTGTTTGTTCAACGAAAAATCTGACAAGATAATAGAAATTTATATTAAATGTAAAATACAAATTAAAGCTCATAACACAAATTAAACTTATCACAAGAAGGTAAATAAAAGCAGCAAAAAAAATATGCAACGCCCTCATTGTTAGTACCCTTGTAAATATGTCACGGTGTATGCTATACAAAAATTAAACAAAAGGACCGCAGCGGCGACGGCCACAAAGGCTGACCTATATTCCATGCTAATGCTCTTACTTTGTATCTCTATCTGTCACCCGCTCAGGGTACTCCCCTGAGAATAATTGCTCATTTATTATATACCGACTTAGACTGGCCACGCGCTGTTATGGCTCAGTATCATGTTTCAGTGCAAACCTCGGCAAAAGTTTATGAATATACGCTTTTTATTCAATTAGATAAAGTTATACTTCGAAACAGGGGTTTTGAAGTTTTTACTTCAAAACAAAGTTATCAATTTCAGCCTTATGTAAGTAATTATTAATTTTTCTTTGGTAATTAATATTCATATATGTCACGTGCTAAATTTTGTAAGTCTCAGTTGTCTGTATTTGTCGTTAATTAGGCGTGGATTCGTAATTTTTTATTAATAATAAGCTTTCAGCTTAAGAGTTCAGAAATTTTGAAGATATGAATGAAAGCTGTTTAAAAATGTTTTTAAAATGAAACCGATAATTATTTCTGATGTCGGTTATTCTTTATCAATCGACAGTAATGGACTTCACAGATTACGATTTCACAAAGATTTTTAACATTAATTATCATAAATGATAGTTAAAATACATTTTCATATCGAACTCATCGGCAAAAATCTAAGTGCTGAATACAATTCGGTAATATGTCAACGTCAAATTACAGTACAAATTCATCTTCCAATTACAAATAGCTTTGATCAAATCAAACGTCAACTGAAGCAATCACAGCCAAATTAATATTCGGAAATCAATTCAACTGTAAATCAGCTTATATTACAGACTGAACTAACACAAAAATGTGTTTTGATGACAGAATTGAACCTTGTAGGCACTGACACTGGGTCCAGTTGGCAAATATCGTTAACAATATAAATATAAGTCCGAATTTAAAGCCAGCCCTATTTATTGTTTGAAATAAAATGGGTTCGTGGTAGTGTTTTTCAACTTTCATTAGACTTAATGAAAAAATAAACTAAATAAGACAGAAACCCTGAAAACTACGTAGGTTTTAATGAAAAAAGAATATCTTATGCCAAACTGATGAGCTTTGGTCAAAGCAAAGTTAAGCGATAAAATAAAATAAAATTATACGATTGTTTGATGCTTGTAATAAACATTGTACCTATTTCACAGAACATTACTGTATTCTCATTTACACCGTCGGTTTTCTTTTTTGTACTATTAACGATATAAAAAGCTTTATCTTTTACGAAAAGACAAAAATAAAATCAAAAACTTCTTAAAATAATCAGAAAAGATTCAATATAATCCAATAGATTTTAAATAACAATACTTAAAGTCCTTGAGATCTTTAAATAGACGCTTTTTGCAAATTAACTAGTTAATCCTCACTGAAAATTAAGTAATGCTAAATGATTGAATCTACGCGAATAATAAGCTTTATTGAGAATCACTAAGCCTTGCCGAATATGACGTAATTATGGTCCTGACGTCATACTTAATAACGTTAAATTCACGCAGGGGATCTAACTCCCAAGTTTGTTTACAAGAGCACACAAACAAAGGATCTAGGCGGGCGTGATAAATCCACGAAGTAAATATTGTGCATTGTCTCTTTAAGCGGCATCTCAGACATTAAATCTAGGGGCGTGTTTTGTCTAAAAGCTTTACCTCATTTAACCTTGTTACGCCAACTTATGTACAAAAGAAACGGAATTTCAACGTCGACGCACATTATGCCTCCCAAATGACAGAGATCCGACGTTTTAGTGTTAAATTTAATTTTTTCATATAATAGCTTTCAGAATGTATAAATGTCACTTTATTTTTGTTAAGGATAAAGTTCTCACGTAAATGTAATGAAATAATTTACATAAATATATAATATTAAGCTTTTGTGTTGGTGTTATTTCAAATTTTATCGGTTCTTAAACGTAGGTAATTTTTAATAAAATAATGCTGATTCTAATGAATTCAATTTCCCAAAAATTCTTTTGATTAATAATGTTATCTTACAACGTATTATTTGAAGTCTAGTTAACCGTTTAATTATATTAATACAATACAGAATGCTTATACTCTGGAATGCATTAAAATTGAATGATTTTACTGTAACGAAACAAAATCGTAAGGTAAATTATGTTCTTAAATTGCGCTAATCTAAGTTTTGAAATTGTTTTATGATGTTATATTGATGGGGTTTCAAATAATAATAATAAATACGTTGGGGTGGGGCGATTAAATTGGCTATAATAATGGAAAAAAAAAATTGTATGTGTATTTAGCACGAAAATTTTGTTAAGATAATTTAAATAAATCATTAGTGTGCCTCAATGATATATTGTCAACATTTACACCCCCATCTTCATTATTCCTGTTATCTCTCTACATCCACTGGAAGAAATCGCTTTAAGCGATAAGGCGACTAATTGTTACATGATAGTGTTAATTTACTATAACATTGTGTAATCAATTGTGTAATGTGGACAATAAAGAGTTTTGTATTGTATTTTTATTGGTATTATGACTAAAAGTCTGTAACAAATTCCAGCACACGTAGCATGACGAACTCGAGCAACATTTTGTCCACATCTAATGTCACTTTTCTCGGGTTCAGAGTTAGGGCATGGGAAACTCATGAAATATAATTTTAATACATTATACATAAAATTAAAATTCTACACTCAAGTGTAGACAAAAACAATGTTGCCATTTAGTCCACAATAATGAACTTACATACCGTCGAATCAACTCGTTAATTTTCTCAATGTTCACTCGACTTGATTCATCAATCCTTACATTTCAAATACTAGAATGACTTAGCAAACCAGTTAAATAAAGTCTTTTGAAAAATGTTACCTATCAAAAGACCACAGACGACTTTTTTTGTTGATCATATATTTATTACACCTACCCTATGTTCATAAAAAAACTCTTTTCAAGAGTAAAAGATTGCTGGATTCTAAAAATATGGTTTGGTTCGTAGCACGCTACATAAAATTATTCATTGGAGTATAAGGAAAGTAAGCATATCATTTGCCAATGTCCCGGAAACGAAAAATCCACGTAACGTAATGTTCCTGGGTTCTTTCAACTAATCTTAGTTTGTACCTATTATAGATCTGTATGGAATGGCTTGAAATATTATATCTAAGAGTAAAACAGTGTCAAAATTTATTTAAATAATCAATATAAAGAAATGAAGGTAGGAATTTTTATATCAAATTGAAATATGTATATATAGAAAATAAGGAATCACTGATAATAGGTAAATGTATTTCCAACCATTTAAGTGTTTTTCTTTTTGGTAGATGTGGCATATAGTATTTTATACATCTCTCAAATGAGATCGATCGTGACTACGCAACTTATAAGTGCAGTGAAATATTATACTGAGACTTTTTGTTTATTCAATGCCGACTGCTTGATGTAGTCGTACAGTATTGTTCCAAACGTTTGGTTTGCCAGACGCTTTCCATCCAGTTCCTTATCCACCGTTTTCCATAATTATGCTTTAAAAGAAGACAAATCGAATTAAATTATCACTGCACTAAATGCAACTGTAATTAACCACAAGCCTAGTCATGCGACTGGGTAGGGAGCAATATAATAAAAAAAAACTGGCTAAGGACGAATCGAATTGTCCCACGAAAACAACGTGCCATCGTCTATGAAAAACGCAAAAAAATGGATACTATATGGGAAGTTCCTCGAGTACATCTTTCATTTTGTTTTTTAGCATTTGTACAACAGTTTACATCATATGAGAAAATTTCAACTATCTAACTAACACGGTTCATGAGATAGAACCTGCTGACGGACAGAGAGATAGACTGGCGAACAATGGTGTCTTATAAATAGGGCACAGTTTTATCCTTTATGTATATAACTCTAAAAATACGCACAGCTTCCAATACAAGCGCACGCATTAGGGCCGGTGCATATCTGATGAAGGATGCCTCACGTCTCGTTGGCCGCGGAACATCAAAACTGGTAAATATTATGATATGACCTTCAACCTTGCACAGCTGACAGATGATCCGTGGCATATATTCATGATTGGCTTGGCCATGGTTAGTGAAGAATCGTTTGTTCGAAGACCAACCTGATAGAGATTGTCGCAAATGCTTTTAAAGTATACAAAGGATAAATCTTTAATCTCACCTGCTGCAAACTTAGACTCTTCACCAATACTTGACTGGAATGCGTATGGCGGCCAAATCCAACTGGTCCGAAGCCATAACATAGAAGGGATAGCAGCAACACTAGAGTCTGCACTGTGCTGACCCACCAGGTGAAGTACGGCCGGTAATCGTCAAGCTCCTCCAATTGGCGTGCTACCTCATCTTGTTGGGTGACTGATTTTCGAAGCGATCGTCTGCAAGAGTAAGATAATTCAAAATTAGATGATTCAAATTTCGTTGTGAGCCCAAAGTGAACACGATTGCGTTATTTAAAAATATTCCCGTTGCCAATTTCGAGTTCCATCATCAGAACCTTGATATTGTGCCGAAAAAAAGTCCTTGTCAAGAAAAATCAAACTTGGGCTAGTTTGCTAGCTCGATGGAATTGTTTCGTTTAATTCTAAAAGAAATCCAATGTAATTTTATCATAAAATCATAGTAATTATAGTTATGGCTATAAAAAAATAAAATCAGCACATAACTACACTACGGAGACTCGAGTTTATCCAATGGAAATCGGCCAATAGCACCATAAATAATCTGCCGTCACAACCAAGAGGTATTAATTCAAAAAACCATTACAGCAACTTTTTAAATGGAAGCTATCCACGTAAACACAGTGATATATTAGGGGCGCGCGTGAAATATAGCCAGTGGGCTTATTCTATATTCTATAATAATAAAAGATTTATCACAATCCCTTTTAAGGTGTCGATTGTGATAGCGATTTATGATTTAAATTAACTTTTATAGTTGCAAGTAATGATGATTTCAATGATCAAGAAACAATAGAAACTTACGGACACCCGTCGAAAGGATTCAGATAAGCATTTCGTTTGACATTTCTTAACAGCTTTTAAAAATATAAAACCCTTGCCTTGAACAATTTCAATAAACAACAAACTAACCATATCGTTCATTCGATATTTAAGGAAAAAAAAACAGTTGTGGCGTGAAGTTTTTAAATAACTTTCAAATGTAAAATTGAAAGGGATTGGGACATACTTTAAAATTAGACCCCGGATTATGCCCGTTCTTGTATTATTTTTAAACGTTGCAAGTGTCACATTATGTAAGATTCATTGTAATAGCAAACTCATATATAATGTAATTTATGCGACAAGTTTTATGATAACAGAGAATTAAGAGGATTAATTAAGAGGACGCCAGACAACCATTATTTACAAATTGATTATGAAAGTAGCGTAATTAATGATGAACCTACATCATATGTTTAAGGGTACTTAGTAATTGGGTTAGAACGTGGATATTAAATCTCCATGGAAAAGAAATATCAATTACAGTTGACAGCAGATGGGATTACTATAAAAGGTTTTTCTTTAATCTACTTTAATCCCAAATATATTGTTAATTAAGATTAAAACTAGTTGTTTGTGAATCCAACTCCAAAATTTTACTATATCCAATTTGTTGTGTAGTCACACTTTTATAATAATTTATATAGTTTGTGGGCAACTAATAGAAACATATAATGTTTAACACATTTCGCGGCCGGCTGATGTCTCGTTTTCTCTCAGGTATTTTAACATATGTATATAAAAGTAGACAAATATAACACATCACATTCAAGATGAGTAGCTAAGGTCCTGGTATTATGGAGCATCGGAACAACGAAGATACCACAACAAACAGATCCTCATCAATATAGAAAAAAATATTTTACGACATTGACCAGCCGGGAATCGAACCTGGAACCTCACAGATAGCGTCCTTGAAATCAGCGTGCAGACCACACCTCTACGAAGGTAAAGGGAACAATCCGCCATTTGTACACTTGTGGCCACAATAATTATATCAAATTTTACTTTTACGCTAACGTAACTCGTGCTGCAAACTTTTTTGTCCTGCACTGTACGTGACCAAGTGGAATATTTTACGATCGCAAAATCGTGTTTTAATAAATACAAAGCTAAGCACCACCCGCTGCCGTCATTATCACGTAAGAACCCGCTGCGTGGAAATGTGGCTGGAGGCTCGTGTAGGCTTCGAAATCAGCGGAAGATATTATAAACATACACATCGAATACTATAAAAATCTTTGTCCTGATATACTGGCTTAAAGGTAACGCACAGCCTAAACCACTGGACGTAGAGATTACGTAATTATGTACGAAAAAATATTATAGTAGATACTACAAATCTGATATTACACGAATTTTGGTCCTGACCTATAGACTTAAGGCGAGGTTGTACGAAAGTACCACTTTTATAAACCAATTTTATAGTTAATATTTATTAAATTTGATCAATTATGTATGCTATATTGAAAAATATTTTTAATGAAAAATGCTTAAAAAATCCACTTTGCCCCTGGCACTGAGATGGGACTCGAACCTATGACCTTTTGCAATCAAGGCGATTGCTCTAACCACTGAGCTAACCAGGACCTAACAGGACTGACGAATCCTTTAAGCACTTAGTAACTTACTTATTCGCTACTACAGAACGTAATTTCATCAATGTTCTGGCTATCCACCCAAAGCACTTTAAGCATTTTCAATTAAGAATATGCTAATATTTGCCAAATAAAAACCATTTTATGAAAAGGAAACATTTTGACGACGAATATATTTCATCTTAAAAATAGATACGAAAAAAGGTTTTGATATAATCTAAAATATACAATAGGTTTTTTTATACATTAGTGCACTTGTTTTTTTTTTAATTAAAAATATATTAAGTCAAGCGAAAGTGCCCCTTTACTCTCGATGCGTTATTTGCGCATTTGTATGGGAACGTAAGCAGGGGTACAAGAGATAACACACATCCTAAACCACTGGACGTAGAGACTACATAGAGGTGTATTAAACGATATAATAGATATCAACAAATCTAATACTAGAATTTATGCCCTGATCTCAGAAACCGTATCTGTATGAACTGAAATAAAAAGACTACAACCGCATACTGGAACATAAAAGAAAATAATTAATCAACCATCGTTGAAGCTAAATAATCGACGAGGAACATGGATTGATTACAAACTATATATCTAAACTAATATTATAGAATGGAAAGATTTGATTATTTGTATTGAATAAAGGGACCGCATTAAAAATGCTTCCATCTGCGGAGGTACTTACATCATACGTGAGTGATATCTTTATAATTAACGCGTGCGAAGACGCAGGAGAATAGCTGCACTCGTCATTTATTTCGTCTTGGTAAACATTAGCAACTAGAGAAAAGTATAGTTAAAGCACATTTTTCATTTATCATTAAATATAGATTACTTATCCGCTATTAGTCAGTTACTGTTATTTTAGAGCCCGACATGATATCGTAAAGTCATAACAACTTGTTACCACTCTACCTAAAGGTGATACATGGCCCACTCCAATTTGATTCTTCTTAACTTAAACTACCAGATGTATAGCTCAACTGACATAATATTTACTAAGTGCAATTACATGTAGCAATAAGAATGCATACTATTTATTTGTCTGTCTGTCAGGTAGGTTATTGAGGAATATTAAACACGTATTTTTTTTTTATAATTGAATGTTGAAGTATATCGATGCGTATTCAATGAATTGTATACATTATTTAGGGAAAGTATGTAATGTAAGAAAACATTCATAATGTTTCATACATTCCCTGAACGTCCCCGATATACTTTACTCTAGATCAATCAATATCTTTCCTAAGTTTAATTCTAGAATTAAAATACCCGAATTATACATATTGCCGGTAACATACCTATTTCAAAAGATTTAAAAATTATTTTTATCCGAATCAGAGAAAAAACTATAACAGATCAAAATTATAAAATTATGTTTTGAAGTTTTAAAACACTGACATTAGTGTTTTTTTTTTTTTGTTGAACAAGAATTGTATTAAAAAGTTATAATTATTAATATAATAAAGTTAGAAATTCATGGCTAAAAGCTTTATGTTACCTATAATTAAAGCAAATGGAGGGCTAAATATCAAAAAGACGTTACCTATCGGTCTATCAGTAACCATTACTGTTTATTTACTTAGCCACAGGCTTCTTAGAAATGAACTTCTTTAGTATTCTCCAATCGATCTGAGGTCGATGTTCGTAACTTGTTCTTTAAAGCAAAATTATTAGAAGTTGCTTCTGCCATATAATATTGCTTGATAATATCAAGTAATGTAGTATTTTATATATTACTATAATAAACACTGTTTGATTGTTTACATTGAATAGTTACCAAAATTTGAATTGCATAGTAAATAGAGTTACGAAAGTACTGGACATATTTCAAACATTTATAACCTACTGGAAAGTACTAAAATTTATCTACTGGAAACTTTATCGTAGATAATTTAGGCACACAAAGTCCATGCTAATAAAATAAGGCCTAACTTGTTTTTTGTTTTCAAATGGATAAATTTCCAAATTCTTCAAAACAATATCAATGTGAAACTAAGTTTATTATGAGAGTAACATTCTGTACTTTATTTTAAAAAAATGTGAATTTCACGTGGTCGGCTCGTGTCTAAAAAAACTTAATAAATGTACTAAACAGTGTTTTTGTAGCTTTTTTTTTTTCAATATTATATCCATTCTGAATACTAAAGCGTGTATAAAACTTTATTACTCTGTAATTAGAACATTTCACTAGAATGAAGAATTAAAAACATGCACTCTAAAAAATGGAGGCCAACAAAGAGCAATTTTCTCTTGGTTGACATAATATTGAATAAAACAATTACTTATTTACATAAATCAATCAAAGCTGAAACATTGAACCAACTAGTTAAAGTATGGTTAAATTAAAAATTTGGTAACCCTGATTAATTCTATCAAATATATTTATCGTATCTATCATTACTGGATTTTTTTTGTATGAATCGATTATTTTTAATAGTTAAATTTAACGATTAAGTATGTTGAAGCAATTCATACAAATTAATCAAAATAAATAGGTATAGTATTAGATTAGACGATTTTTATTGTTGCAGTAATAAGTTTCTCGTATTTGATTTAACAGAGAACGTTAGTAGAACCAAAAAAACCCTTTGTTTTTCAAACAATAAAGACTATTTAGTAAATTCAAAAACATGAATGATTAATGGTGTGACGGAACACACCACAATAATTCAATAAATAAAGCAAAATGCATCGATTATTTATTAATAATTTTAGCCTAAGGAATGGTCGTGCTGGATGGGATTTTAAAGGTGGATTCCTGGAAAGAATCAC